AATATAATTCAATCAAAAGTTAAGTCTAAACATTATTTTTTCCCACTGCAAACTGTTCATGGCTAAAGCTTTTATTAAAACCCAAATAAAGTTTCCACAAGGTAGTTCAGCAGTACAAAAGCTATTAAATCTCAACAGAATTCAAATAGCCACGAGGAAAAGAAAAAGAATAGTCTTCCATAGAGCTAACAAAGCAAAAGTCCTTGTACCTTCAATTTCCTAGTATTAATTATAATTCAAAACCTAGCATGTCCTTACAGATGTAATCTACTTGGCTTTACAGTACATTCTCAAGGTTAACGAAACAAAGCAACACGTCTTTAATTCCAAACTCACTTTTCTAACCTGCCGCTTCAGATTAAAAGGTCCCTCATCACAGATAACTAATATTATACTATATATAACTTGAAATAATTAGAAAAATAAAGGAGTACATTTACTGGTGTTCATGATACCCGCTGGACCTTTTCTCTTCTCCCTAAAGGATGAGTAGTTAACTTTTTACAGCCCTGGCCCAAATTGTTCTTTCATCCTGAGCTGCCCATGACGAACACTTAAGCTGTGACCCTCTTCCCAGGTCTCTGTCCTGGAAATAAAACTCTAATTGGTCCAAGGTAGGTCTCTGTCCTGGAAATAAAACTCTAATTGGTTGAAGGTCTGGGGAAGGATGTGGTAAAGGAGGAGGATGTAACCTAGGGACATGTGAGAACTAAGCTGTCTACATGGCGCCATGAAGCTCAAGAACATTCGTGACAGATGGCAATTGCCTAGGATAAGAACAATGAGCTTAATTTTTCTGTTTATTGCTAGGGAGAATACATCCCCAAGTACATGTGGGGAAAGTCACTCAAACACAGAGTGGCAGAAATTTAGAGTGGTTAGGAAACTCCAAAATTATCTTCTGTTCCAATCCTTTCAATTTTGTCTATAAGGACTGAATGTTAAGGTGACTTTGCTGTTACACAAATAGTGACTTTTATTAGTGGAAACATCAGTTGAAAAGGACTTCCTTTTTCTTATTCACAATACCTGGAAGAGAGTAGGTGTACCATGGAATATTGTTTAAACTGATTGCATGAGAGAATGAGATCTAAGTACCTTTTCTTTCACAATTCTCACTTTCTCCAGACTTAGGGTTGAAGGACTAGCTGAAGAGCCATCACACAAAACTCATGTTTGAGTAGGAACAAGGCTCAGGGCACCAATAGAAAATGCCAGAGAAAGAAAACCTAGGAGAAAATGTTAACTGCCTTTGCCTCTGTTAATGACTAGTCCCTACATGGAGGTCTCAGGACAGGAAACATGTCAAGAAAGATAATCTGTTCCCTTGAAAGGCAAGTTTAAATAGCAGAATTATGAAGAACCTATTGGTCTGCTTTTTAACAAAATGTCCCCAGTGGCACAGCTTGAGGATTAGTTTAGTTCTAATCTTAATTGAACGGTATGTGTTTGAGGACTAGTTCTTATGTTAATTGAATGGCATCTGTTTAGTGCTGATAATAGACATTATCATCATCAAAATGAATTAATTCCCAGTGTCTTAAAATTTCAAGAAAAAGATATTGCAGCATATTTTACAACAAGAAAAGTATTTGTGGATTCAATATCCTATAACTGACCATTAATTTTGGTTTTTCATTTGATGCTTTTTCATAAAGATGATTTAAGCTTTCCTTCTATGTTGAATTATACAAGTCTCATTTACAGCATCTATACTCTGAAAACGGAAAATTAAGAGTAATTGTTACCGAAAGCTCAGCCGCTTGTCTGTGAAGCCGAATCAGAAGAATGAGGACAAGTGTCTTTGGGGAGGAGGAAAGAGATTTATTACCTTTGCCGGCAAAGGGAGGAAAAATGGCAGATCTTCTTGTCTCAATACCTACATTTCCCAGACACAGGCAGGAATACAGAACTTTTAAAGGGAGGGTTCTCAGCTTCAGGCGATTACTGTGGTTAACTATTCTAATCATCCCATCTCTGCTAAACACACAGCCAAGACCCACCTGGGAGTTTTAACAAAATACTTAACCTGCCTCAGGGATGCAGGCCAGGCTGCAGTTCCCAAAAAGAGTG